GCTTTGCTAAGCTTGTTCTAAGTAGGTGCTTTAGACCACTGAGCCATCTCACCAGCCCCATTTTATTTTTATTTTTTTTTTGTGGAACCAGGGATTGAACTCAGGCCCTTGCGCTTGCCAGGGAAGCGCTTATTCCACTGAGCCATCTTCCCAGCCCCAGCCCTCAATTATTATAACTGACTGGAAAGAAGAGGACTGGGGATGTAACTCAGAGGGAGAACTCTCTCTCTTTGCATTTACAAGGCCCTGGTCCAGAAAGTTAGCATCACAAACAAACAAACAAATCTCTAAAACCCCACAGTAGAGTGCACTGCACAACAGTGGAAAAAAGGTCTATCATACATGGGAAAAAAATTCAGAGAGCAGTTTAGTACTTATAGAAACAGTTCTAGCATATATTTATTAGAACCTAAAGTATAATGGGACACAAGTATAATGTTATAATGCCTATCAATTATGGAAATAAAACAATTTCCCCCTAATTTTAATGCAAACATTCTTTTACAAGTAAGATTAAAATACTCTGTTCCAAATTTTATGGTTACACATAAAATTCTGAGTACTCTCACAAAATTTTTGTACTTGAGTACGATCATTAGTTCTATAAAAAAGTGCCATTGGCAACAAAATATTTTAGGTTGGAATCAAACAACCTAGATGCTGGAAGAATCCCAAAGAACTTGAGTTCCTTCATTTAGATCAGATAATTTAGCAGCTGCCAATTTGATCTGCGGTTATCTTAATCTCATGACCCCCGGCATATGGAACTTTCAGTTCTGCTCATGACTCTGAGATACTGTTCTTATTTTTACTTCTTGCAACATTTATAGAAACAACTTATCTTTATTCTTTTTTATTTCCTTTCCTTTCTCTTCCCCTCCCTCCTTCCTTCTTCAGATGGAGTCTTGCTGTGTTGCCAGGGGAACTCCTGGGCACATACAATCATCCCACCTCAGTCTTCTCCCGAGTAGCTGGGATTATGGGAGGTACCACTATGTCTTTATTTTCAAATGAAAGAAAGTTGCATTTCAAATATTCACTGAAGTACTTTGTTCAGTCATTCTAGTAATGCTTTTACCTCAAACTCAAAGCAATGCTAATACATTAGAAGGAAGTGTGTGTGTGCGTGTATGGTACAGTGCTGGTTTAAACCTAGGGCTTCATGTTTGCTCTACCCATAAGCTACACTCACAACCCATTTTCATTTTATTTTGAGACAGTGTTTTGCTAAGTCTCCGAGTTAGACACAAATGTGTCACCCTCCTGCCTCAGTCTGTCAAGTAGCTGAGATTATATAAGCGTATGTCACCATGTCTGGTGGAAAACAGATTTTAAATATGGTACACAAACAGATGTTAAATGGACATCTGGTCAATGAACCTACTAAAGAATGCTTATTTCTTTTCTTTTCTTTCTTTCCTTCCTTTCTTCTTTCCTTTTGGCAGAACCGGGGATAGAACTTAGGCCCTTTCAACTGAGCTATCTCCCTGGCCCCAAGAATGCATCTTTCTGAGAACTCAGGTGGATACAAGATAATTCAATACAACCTAGATATAAATGGGGATATTTTTTACAGTGGTTTTTGTTCTGGAATAAATTAAAAAACAAAAACAAAAACAACTTTGCTGCTGCTGCTGAAATGAAAACAAAGTGAAAAGGCTGTTCTACATGGTTTCTGGAATGTTTTCAGCATCCTAGATATAATGGGGACTTCAGAGGAAAATAACACAGTCATCTGATCATCTCGTAAAGTATACTCTGTGCTACAGAGAAGCCAAAATGAGATAAGAGCTCATTTATTTGTTGGAACTATACCAGGGTCAAAAGGTATAGTGTATAATTTATCCTTATTTTCAGAGCAGGTGCTAGGATAGGGCTTCAAATTTTATAAGTGAAGAAAAGCCTTAGGGTCCCTGTTCTTAGAATTTGCTGCACACTGCAATCACTTGAGGATTAAAATAAATAAATAAATAAATAAATAAATAAATAAATAAAATAAAATAAAATTCTGGCTCCCAGCCCCAGATATTCTTTTTGAACTTGCCTTGGGTATGAACCAGGCATTGGGGTTTTTAAAGTCCCACAGGTGAATACGATGTAAAGCACCTCAGACTGCCCTGAGCCTTTCAAATACCTGACTTTCAGCAACTTACACTTGCGGCCTAAGGATCTTCAACTGAGTGAGGATGTCCGCCTGCACCCTGGGGTTGGCAGTAGCCGTAAGAGCCATCACTGGAACGGAAGGGAACTTCTGGCGAAGCATATTCATTCTTTTGTAATCTTGGCGAAAATCATGTCCCCACTGGTGAGAAAAAAAAATACTCCTTTTCAGATTATTTGGATCTTCCTTATGTAAATGACCAACACTGGCCAATATCTTAAAACCACTTTATTCTTCAATGAAATAGTAGAATATTTCACTCAATATGGATTTTTCTCCGTTACAGAAAGATCACACTGTTGAAGGTATAAACGTACTGATATTCCAAGAGGCCCAACACTGTAGCTCAATCATAATCAAGGCTCTGAGTTTGGGCTCCAATCACCAAGCAAATAAACAAAAGAGCAAAAAAGTACTCCCTTTTTCAAGATGTAAAAGCAGTATTTACCTGGCTCACACAATGTGCTTCATCAATAACAAAACGTGCCAAAAGCTTCCTCTCATACAGATTCTCCAGAGTAGAAATTAGCCGGTTACTTGCACAGACCTAGACCAAAAACATACGTGATATCTAAACACATCACCTTAATAATTTGTTGTCTTTTTTTTTTTTTTTTTTGCTCCGAATGCCTTCAGGGCAGGTTTGGCTGGCTTGAGTTGTGGGGATTGAACCACAGCAACCTGAGCCTGACTGCTTTGTTGAAGCAGCCACTTAAAGAACTGAGCTTAGGGGCAGGCACCCAATTTGTTGTCTTTTTTAAAATTTTATTTGTTGTCTCTAAGTTCCATTACAATTAGGCTGTGTTAAAATATTTATAAAAACTAGTTCTTATATCTAGGAGGAGAACAGAGTAACAGATATGATATTACAGAATGTCTGGCAAATTCAGCAGACAGCTATTCATTAGGTCAGTGGCTCTAAAATTTTATTCTGCCTTAATACATCTGAGGGCTACCATGTTTATAGTGGTTAACAGGATTAAGCATTTAGATGTGTGTATGTTGTTTGGGTAAAAATTATGTATACATATATTACAGCTATACAAGTAGGTTTGTCCGTGATAGGGTCTAGAACCAATCACATCCAAGTAGTAACAAATACACCTAGCACCTACATCGATCCTCCTGCCTCAGCCTCCTGAGTGCTGAGATTACAGGCGTTTGCTATCATGCCTGGCAGCACAGACATCTTTGGGTTTTTTTGGTCCCAGGAATTGAACTCAGGACCTTGTACTTGCCAGGCAGGTGCTTAAGCTGCTATCTCCCTGGCCCTAACATGTGTATCCTGACAGGGAAATGGGAGAACACAGAAGTTAGCTTGATGAACTATGCCATGGCCAAATCTAGGGACAGTTATGAAAATACATAATGATGGTGATGGATATAGCTCAATGAGTGAGCACTGGCCCAGCATGTGTGAGGCCCTGGGTTCGATCCCGAACACTGAGAAAAAAATTACATAATTTATTACATAATAAGATATTTATATATGACAACTGACTGTAACCCTCTGGATCTATGACTTTATATTGATACAACTAAATGTGAGAGATAAAAAATAAATCATAATTTGGCATCCATTACATTAATTACTGATTTGGGGAGGCATCATCAATGGAGGCTAACACTTGTGAGTAAAACTTGACTAATAGGGTATTTACAGTCTCAATGTACCCCCAACCAAGGTATTCAGTAATTGCTAGGGTGGGGAAAAAGTCACTATAGTGGGGAAATCTTTAGGTCCTACCTCAGCCAAAGGGTCAG